AGCCCGACAGCAACATTGTTTCCACGACACTGATTGTGTGTGTGTATATATTTGTGTGCCTTTGAACACAGGGACATTATCCGCAGCGAGTCGTGCGGGAACATGGAGAAAGGAAACGACCTGGAGGGCCTCAATCCCCTCGAAGGCTCATTAGAGGGCAATGAGGACGGACTGACGGGGATACCACTTCGAGATCTCTATCGTCAAAGGATGATCAAGAATCTAAAGGAGACAAAGGCGAACCGGCGAAAGAAATCGGGCACCAAGTCCGTCAAAAGCCAATAATGAGTACCCCGCCCGCCCGCTCGCTGGCCCCTCCCACCTCCAATAATTTGAACGTCCACAAAGTGCAATCACAGTACTCTTTTTTCTCTCACCCCCACGCACAGCACGCCCCACGCCTTGCCTAAAACAGATTTTGTTAAGCTGACATTATCATGTAGGCGGCTGCGTTGGAGAGAACGCACGCCAACGAGTCGCGGAAAACGCCCTTCACCGAGATGAGAGAGAGGGTGCTTCGAATGTGCGCACATCAGAGTATTCCCCATCCACCACCGAGGCCCTGCATGCAAGGACCCCGATCCCTCGCACCCTCATTTACTCCTGTCAAACTGCCAACTGCGCCATCATTGTGAAAACCACCCGGACAATCGATGGGAATTCTGATACTTGAGCACCTCATCAACCTTAATATTAATTCCTATTTTTCTTTCCGTAAAATAACCCATTTTTGTCGACAGAACTCCAATCGCATGCACTAGTGTGTGACTGAGAGCATGGATAATGCTCATCTACGCATTGACCAGGTCAGATATGATTATGTAGCCATACCTGAGGTAAGCAAACCCCAGCTACGGGAGCGGAGGTAAAAGGGGGTATTTATAGGTGGGGCCGGGAAACGCAAAGGCGACGAGGTCAGGTAGCTGTACGCAAAAAAAAAGCTATTGGGAATGCGCGGTTGTACTTCAAGTGGTTGAGAAATAGTTGCCCTAACCTTTAAAACCAACCCCTGACCCTAACCCTTAACCGCAGCACTAAACCTTAACCCTGAAACATCCAACGCGAAAGTTAGAAGGAGACGACAGGCCAAAAGTCAAGAAGGATCACCGGCATTGGGCCAAAAAGGTAGACACGGCAACAAGGCAGCCAACAGAACACACACCGCAAAGCATAGCAACAGCATGCCAGCGTAATCACACCAACTCAAAATAATTAAGCAGGTCAACTGCGCCATCATTGTGAAAACCACCCGGACAATCGATGGGAATTCGGGTATTTGAGCACCTTATCAACCTTAATATTAATTCCTATTTTTCTCCGTAAAATAACCCATTTTTGTCGACAGAACTCCAATCACACACACACACTACGTGTGACTGAAAGTATGGATAATGTTCATTTACGCATTGGCCGGGTCAGATGTGGTTATGTAGCCGCAACTTAGGTAAGCAAACCCCAGCTGCCTGTAAAAGGGGAGCGGAGGTAAAAGGGGGTATTTATAGGTGGGGCCGGGAAACGCAAAGGCGACGAGGTCAGGTAGCTGTACGCAAAAAAAAAGCTATTGGGAATGCGCGGTTGTACTTCAAGTGGTTGAGAAATAGTTGCCCTAACCTTTAAAACCAACCCCTGACCCTAACCCTAACCGCAGCCCAAAACCCTTAACCTGAAGCGTCCAACGCGAAAGTTAGAAGGAGACGACAGGCCGAAAGTCAAGAACGACCACCGGCATTGGGCCAAGAAAGGTAGACACGGCAGAAAAGAAACAATGCCGCCATCAGAACACACACCGCAACATCATGCCAACGTAATCACACCAACTCAATTAAGTATGTCAACGGTATTGTGTCCATCGGATGCGGCTACATACAGTATGTAGGCTAACTCATGAAATGTCGACCGAAATTCCAAAATGCGTTCTCCTTTCGACATAACTAATTAAGTGGGGTTGTAAAACTAGTCAACCTGCAACAAAATTCTATAATACTTCAGTTACCCCAGAATATTGGCTTTCAAATGAGCTTCCTTCCGGCCGCATGCAAAAACTACACTGTAAAGAATGGCTACTTAAGTAGCATGAACTTTTCTCATTGATTTTACATGCCCCTAAAAGTCCAATTTTATTTCATGGAAAACATGCATAAAAATAATCACTCTTCTTCTTCTTCTTCTTCTAATTTTATACTCGAAGAGGGACATAATTCGATTTTAAAAAAGTTTCTAATTGTGGGACTTCTAAATACCGTGAAATGGTCATTCATAAATCGTCATGTCTCTGCATTTACCAGTGTGGCTTGTAAAGTTAACAATATGAATCAAATCCACTGTTAAATTTTATAAACCCTACATGCCCCCCCTATTACCGCAGAGAAATGTGTTGTTTTTCGTACGCGGAAAATATACGGCTTGTACGTTGGAAACCCTGAATGCAAGGGTAACGGCAGAGCGGGTTCAAAATTACTCGGGAATTGTAAAAGTTTTCCAAAACCGAATATTACCCTTCCTTCGAGTATAAGGTTGGAATAAGACGTAATTGTCTACCGAATGAGCGAAAGAATGAATATTTTATGCATGTTTTCTATGAAATATAACTAGACTTTTAGCGGCCTCGAAAATCAATGAAAATTCATGCTACTTAAGTAGTCATGTTTTACAGCGTGCGCTCTTTGCATGCAGCCGGAAGGAAACTCTTTCGAAAGCCGGCATCCTGAGGTAACGCATTTCCGTCGACATTTCATGAGTTGGCCCACCTACTGTAGCCAAATCTTACCGTTGGTCGAATATAGTTGATGCATAACATGCAGGGCAGGCTTAACAGGATAGATAGTGTCCCACTGGTCTAAAGAGTTTCTTGACGCAAACGGCCTTCATTAGGGAATCACGGGAATTAGTCGGAGTTATGTCATCCCACTCAGCGGGTCAAGACAGGTTTTGGGTCGCCATCGAGTGTGCAAGAGCCTACACTCATCCATGCAGTTTCGGAAATGAAGCAGGAGACCAGAGAGGCACATAGGAATTTGTGGGTAACGGCGATTGCGAGCGCCTAGTTTGAGCACATGACCGCCGAAGGTAATGCGACGCTAAGCCTCACTCGAGAAACGGTTACGGTAACGATTGCGACCTTCGGGGGCATGGGGTACGATACGGCAAGTGAAGATTTTTAACAACCGCCAGTGGAAAACTGTGAAGTGCAATAGAAACTCCTCTCAGTATCCTCCTGAAAAGTACGACCGTCCGAGTGCCCTTTGAAAATGACCGTAGATTTGTTGAGGACCATGAGAAATATCGCTAAAATGTCACAACTAAGACGGTCCTTTGGCTCAATTCGGATAAGGATGCTTACAATAGTATCGTCCGTTGAGCAGACGAATATCGACTGTTACAGATGGACTAGTAGATGTTGTTTCCGGTCAGAAGGAGTAACAAAGTCCAGACGTAACAGAGCGACATCTCTGTTAGTATTACGACTGCAGTTTGCTAATATGGCCGGATGCCCTTAATGGCATTAAGCAAGTATAACTGGTTGGGTAGGAAGACAGACAGGAATGCCACTTCATTGTCCGATTCCAGGTTGGCAACGTTGACAGTTGCGGACCGATAATTTAAGAAAGGGAAATGGCTCACTATAAAGTATTTATTGTACTGCCGACTTTCCCCAGAGCTTGGTTGGTTGACCGTTGTCAGACGGAACTTCAGATGAATTGCCGACTAATCGGCCTTTAGCTGATCAATTTTGTTCTTTCGCTTTTTCAGCCATCTTGGTGGCGGACTTGAAATCTGCCTGCGTTATGAATCATCACACTGGGAGATGGTGCTTGAACCTCTGTAAGGTTGTTCGATCTGGCGGCTCTTTTTATCCCCCGCTACGTGGGTTCGTCGTCCGTGCGTGACTGTTCGGTTTTCTTAAGTCCCGCGTCGCCGTCTTGTTCTGGCCTCTTCGTACGTAATGACGCAGGACTTTAGGAGTCGTTAGAAGACCAAGGTGCCTGTTAATGGAGCCGGTAGCTGAGTTTGGAGCCTCGATTTTGTTGTTTAGCTGTTCGCTACATCGACATCACTTCCGTCGTTAAAACAAATGACATTGGACACGCTAAAGGACTGCTGGATGCCGTTGACCAAATTATTAGATTCCCGATGGAAACCGAGACAAATAACCCACTTTCCTTCCTCCTGACTGGTTTCGCGACTGTCACAACTCGTCAGAATAGGCGCAGCGTATTGACCCGAGGCAACAGTTCGTCGCCGTTTGACGCAACCCAAGGGCACGCTAGCACTCACCAAGACCTCGACAGTTGTCTACAAAATATGTTGCAATTATGGGGCTGTAACGAAAATTCTAGGCTTGCCTACAAGAGCAGGTGTACCTCCAGAACAGCCCGACACACACACACACTTGTACTCAGATGTCAACTCCGCCAACAAGTACCGTAGCATCCTGCCGCCCTGTGTCGTTATGTACACAAAGATCAGGGCAGGACGACCACAGTGAACTTAATAGAACCGACCAGACAATGACTAACAACGAACTCATCCGATGGATGAGGAGGGGAGCCACCAAATCGAACAACCCCGGAGGGGCTCAACCACCCTCCATCGAGAGGATGACTCACAACGTCATGGAACGCGCGCCACGAGCGATTAACGAACCGGCCAATTGAGCGTAAGAAAAAGCCACTACCTCAACTAGTAAGTAGCTGTTATTAATAAGTCGAAAAGAAACAGATGAATAACATAACCAAGGCCAGAGGGTGAAAATACAGTTTCTGAACAGGTATACCTAAAGGAAAAGTAAGTGGAAGCCCATACAGACACAAAATTAAGGGATAAGAAAACTAAAACTAAATATGAAATCGAAACCATGAAGAAACCTCTGTCGCAAATAAAAATGCACGTTTTTATACTGCTCTAGAGAAGATGGCACATGCCACGGTATGGCCCGCTGAAAGGACAGATAGATAAAATCGAGATCGAAGAAGGGAGGGCAGGGAAGTCCGTCGGGATGTTCACTGCTTTATAATCTCGTAGTAGACGAACTGGCCGAAAATCACCAAGTCGATAAGGATCTGTAGGACGCCACAAACGATAAATTGGACAGGCGATGAGGAGATGAAAAAGTAGATTACTTTGGCGACGTCACCAACAGTCCAAAGTGCTACCATTTGCAGGCTAGAAGAGAGTAAAACAATGTACTTTCTGAGAGGAAAATGACATTCCGCCTTTGCTGCGCGCATATCAACATGTGCAACAAAAACAGGGAGAGAACCTGTAGGTAAGGAGGAAAAGGCCCTGCACAGTAAAGATGCGCAACAAACCAGCCCTGGTAGCGGCGACTGGCTCGTCTCCTTCCATTCATCCAAAAAGACGTTTCAGGTGGTAACATCCCGATCGATGTGGCTATTAATGCATGACCGTAAACCGCCCCCAGAGGATTCCAGGCTACCAATATTGTGCGGCACCACCCAGTAGAACTCATGTACCGTCTCGTAGATAAGGAGAGTCAATTTCAGCAGACAGTCTCGGCAACCTGTCACCAAATGACGTTTGTGTATGCGGGTGAGGGCATACTTCTTTTTTAAACTACGGTGGTTTAGGTGGTTTGAAAAAGGAGTAGGTTGGACTGTACGAAAATGGAGGGGGGAGGCAGAGCTATTTGGCCCTGTGCCCTAGGTAAGCACAGGTATTTTGAGATCCTTGGGTCGGAGCAGCGGAGGAGGCGGTCGGACTTACCTTCCAATTGTGTGGTGTTGGCATCTCAAAAGACTCATTGTGGAATGGCCCCGCCCACAGACATCTTTTTTAACACCTTTCTGTACTTTTCGACGGTAATACTACGTGAGATTTAGTTGCTGCAGCCTTCAGGTAAATGTGCGAATCGGCCCTGATACCGATCTGCGCCCTACGCGCTCAACTTACCTCTAAGGGGTTTGAGGGAATAACTCGCTGAGATTCGGCAATAGCACTACCGGGGAGCGAAATCCTGACTCCTGACGCTTCTGATTCGGTAGATTCCTCCCCTGACTGGTACTCGACAACAACTCCAATCTATCGAATCAGCTACGGTTTTTATGACAAATCGAGACCCAGAAAGTGCACATGACCGTTGGCGATACGGTTTCCTCTTGATTCTCGGCGCATAAGGAATAAGGTTTCCGGTGTTCTCGTTAGCTCTTAATCGACAGCAGGTGGATTTGTATGTGGTGTAGGGGGGGCGCTCAATCATCGTTTTTACGGAACTCACTCTTTCCGTTGTGCCTTAGGGCTTTCTCTCTCTCTCTCACTCGAATCCAACCAGCAGCCGCACAGCGACGCATGATATAGGCAGAATGGCATTACCAACAAAGACGACGGAGACTGGAGGGACCATTTCTGGACTATTAGCCGTCGTCAGCCAGCCATGCCCAACCCCAAGGTGTGGAACACCTGGGGTCCGACCCCGCGACTTGTTGGTTAGAAGTCCAACGCCTCTAACCACTGAGCCACGGGCTCGTCGTCCTGTCGGTTGTGGTCAGCAATACACAATGGTAGAGGGGCGCTCACTGATCGTTTTTACGGAACTAACTCGTCGAGAGAGAGAGCCATAAGGCACAGCGGGACGAGTGAGTTTCGTGGCGCGATTGGTGAGCGTACTGCCACAATCGTATATACTCGGTCGCAATCGCCAGGGCAACGAGTCCGTGGCTCAGTGGCTAGAGGCGGTAGACTTCTAACCAACAGGTCGCAGGATCGAGCCTCAGGTGTCCCATGGCTAATGACGGCTAATGACGGTTAACAAGTCGGAAGTGGCCATTCCGGTCTCCCTTGCCTTCGTCCGCAATGCGAAACCGTATATTTTCATTCAATGGCAAAATAGGAGGAGAAAGCAATGCAGAGGAGAAAATAAGTACAGCTATAATGGTAGGGGGCGCTCAGCGATGGTTCATACGGAACTCACTCGTTCCGTTGTGCCTTAAGGGCGCTCTCTCGAGCCCAACCAGCAGCCGCACAGCGGCGCATGATATATAGGCAGAATGGCATTACCAACAAAGACAAGGGAGACTGAAATGGCCATTTCTGGCTTATTAACCGTCGTCAGCCAGCCATACCCAAGCCCGAAGTGTGGAACACCCGAGCCTCGAACTAGCGACCTGTTGGTTTAGAAGTCCACGCCTCTACCCACCGGGCCACGAGCCCGTTGCCCTGTCGGTTTTCGATCGGGAATATACAATGGTAGGGGGCGCTGACCGATCGTTCATACGGAACTCACTCGTTCCGTTGTGCCCAAAGTACAGCTATACAATAAGTCAAACGCTGTAAATACTTGCCCTGGCTGAACAGTTGAGAAATACTTTCACGCTACCACACCGGCTGCTGCTTGAGCGACCTTCCAGTAAAACGCATAAATCACGTCCGCGAAAAAATTACTACTCCAGTGGGGTACTTTTTTCTACCGATCTTTGAGTACTGTAGGAAAATGAAACACATTTGCCAGAAATGATGTGCACATTTCTCTCCTTCCAATTATTTTATAGGAAATTATGTTTCGTGTGAACTTTGTATTTGAAAATTCGAATATGTGGGAACTTTCCAGATGGGTTTATTAATAACACTTCTAAGCTAACAAACGGCATCCACACATACGGCAGTATTCTATGAACTTCACAAAGACACAAAGAAAGATGTACAATGCGTGACCTAACCCATGAAACCCTATGACAGAAACAAATACGCGAATATTCAGATGCCTAAAACGTTGCGCATTTTTCTCTCTCGTTGACATTTCGGATCTGACCCGTAAAATTCATATCCCGGACACCTAACTCCATGTCCTGAGGTTGATAATTTTAGAAATTATCTCCCTGATTAACCTCTGGAGTACGTGTGCCAGAAACCGCATAGGGCACGCCGGAGGACTCACCGAGGAGCCAAAGACCTTGCAGCTGCGTCATGTAGCAGCAGAAACACTTGTCTGAGCTTTCAGCTAGTACATGTGGTGGGAGAACGGTATAACCATCCGTCAAATGTACAGTGTATGAAACCTGATGACGGAAATTGATGTGTGAATTTTCGGACACCTTAAGCGTCGCGCATTTTGCTCACTCCTCCGACCCCTGAAGTGTGTTCACGCAATTTTGTCAAGCAAAATGCACACAAATTTGCGCATTTTTCACTTATCTGTCCATCTCTAGGACACTTAACGCAATGTCCTGTGGTCAATAATTTCAGAAATTATTCCCCTTGAGTACGCATGCCAGAAACCGCACAGAGAGCGTTGAGGGACTCGCCGAGGTGCCGAAGACCTCGCGGCTGCATTATGTAGCAGCAGAAACATCGGCGAAACACTTGTCTGCGCTTTCGGCTAGTACATATGTCGGAAGAACGGTATAACCATCTGTTCAGAAGAAGAAGAAGAAGAAGAAGAAGAAGAAGAAGAAGAAAAAGAAGAAGAAGAAGCGGTCGCTGGAACAAGGTCTTTATTCGCCTGACGTTTCGGATTCTCACTTGAATCCATCATAAGAGACAGTGGCAGAAAAGGGTGACTCGTGCACAGGAAGCTGCAGTATTTATAGGATGCAGTCGCTATGCTACCGCATACCTATAGCAATTAACCGCGCTCCCCTTCATGAAGGATCGTTGCCCGCTGGTGCGCTAATTGCTTGCTGGCCGGCACGCAAGTTGTTAACTACCGAAATGCCATCACCCGTGTTGGATGTTGGCGCGATGATTTCTCGGCCATCTGTCAGATATACAGTGCGTGACCTATCTCATGAAAGCCGATGACAGAAATTGATGTGTGAATTTTCGGACACCTTAAGCGTCGCGCATTTTGCTCACTCCGCCAACCCCTGCAGGCAAATGCAAAAGTGTGTCTACGCAATTTTATCCGGCAAAATGCCCACAAATTTGAGCCAAAAATGGAAGATGCGATATATTCGTGCAAGCTCTTATGCTAACACCTATCCTAGACTTAGGTTGTGCATCTTAGCGTGTTTTTATTTAAGAGATTCACCCACCCTAGACTGAGCAGTGCCGCACTTGAAAATTGATTTCTTGTCTGACCGTGGGAGTCAGTTTGTTGACAGAGGTTATTTTTAGAGAACACAGCGTTTCATCAAGTCCTGAAAGTCAAATTAGCAAATTTGTGCGGTTTCGTGTCCTAAGGTGCAGTAACAATGCACACAGGCAACCCTTCGTTTAAACGGAAAGAAGTTGTTTTGCCATCTGGAAAATTATATCGGTTGTCACATGAATGGCTACCACCGAATGATCATTTTTAGTTTCGTGCGATCTAGTTTCTGCAAATACGTAATTTAGGAATGGAAAGAGCCAATCATTAGCAGTTTCAGCAAAACATAAGTGCATTCATCGTCGCAGAGCGCAGCCCGAAAGTAGGCAAAGATAGCGAAAACGGAGGCGATATAAAGATAAAGGCATGTTCTTCTGCTGACGATAGAAGATTATCAGTATTTTTTTTAACAACGTGAAAGAAACGGCCAAAAGTGTCAGTCTTTTTCTTTGTGGGAAACCAATTTAGAACACAAAAAGCGTGATGTATTCGGCGACATTTCCAGGTCGGTCTGAAACTCACCGTAATCCGGAACAAATAAAAAAGTGCAAATGAAGTTCACGGGATAAATGGCATGTTTGCGATAACTTCCGCCAAATCTACTCAGATTCATTAGTCACAGAATGGTGTGACAGCCTGTGACCTTATGAAAACTTTTATTCCTATGACGTCCTTGAGGTCAAAATCAAGTAAAATCTTTTTCCTTATCGAACCGCATCTCCACCAATGCGAAAGCTTAGAAAATGCAACGAATTCTAAGGAAACCGTTTTGATATCTATACTCAAAATGTGGCCTGTTGGTGAACCACCATACCTAAGAATGCACGAATTCTTGAAGAATATTTGGATGTAAACTTGGTCAGATCTTATTATGTAGCCGCACCTGCAGTGGACAAGCTCCATCCGTCTGTAATACGGGACCGATGGTAATAGAGGGCTTAGCATTAACCCCTAACCATAACTCCCGGCAGGTGCGGCCACGAAATAAGATCTTACCGTAGACTTCACTAAAAGACTATTATCAAACATTATGCTATTTGTGATGTCATATTTTATCGTTTTTTGCATGGATAGGCTTTCTGTACATTGAAAACTAAAGCCTACTAAATTAAAACTATTTTGGGCATTCTCGGAATTCTCCGCTTTTCTGAAAAATTTGATATTTTTAAACAACGTAATATTATCTTTAAAATTCCTTGTAATTCCCTTAAAGTTTTTCATTCAGATGCGCCCTTCCCCACCTCTGGTCTTCTTGAATATGTCATGAAACCGGGTCCAGGTGGGGAGCAGGGGAGAGTGCGGTAGACGCTATGCAAGTCTACTACAACTATAAATTAAATTACGCACAAGTCACCGTGCCTGCCTCACCTTAGTGTGGCGCCCACAGTGGACATCGTCGGCAACGACGGTCGAACCGTTATTGTGGCAACAATTCGTAAATGTCGACACATTTCATCTGTTAGATCATCTACTGTATTTGTTTTGGAGAAACTGTTCAGGGGGCCAAAGCACGGGCTAGAAACGAGTGTTTTTTTAAATATATATATGAAAATCTGCAATCTTTAAAAATCGAAGTATGCCTGTGCGATGTGTACAAGATTTAAAAAATACCCATCTTCTTGCGAACGGAGCGCAAAAATGAAGATTTAGCACATTCGTTGTGACGAGTTAACACTGGATGTCTAACTATTCAGTCAGAAAGTGTACGCAGTTGGTAGGATTGTTTCAAACTGGAATCCCGTGTGTCGCTTAGAGCTGCGAAGGTGAAAGGTCTGAGTGACGTTAGAGTCCCTCCAGCTGGTTAAAAATTGCAGCAGCAATAGGGCATGACAGAATTATGTTTTCTAGACATTTCAGCCCACTCTGAACTTTCTACCAAGGGCAATGTTTACGACTGACATTTACCACTGAGCAACAGGTGCGACGCAAGATGGTGCGATGTACGGGTTGGTATAGGACCCAGTCCGTCCGGTAATTAGGTTTGTGACAAATAGCAGGCGTTCGGCAAAGTTTACACACAACATACGCATGCGTGCACCGGAAAAGTGCACAAGATCCGTGGGGAAAAGTGAGCAAAATAATATGGCAATGTGCCGAAGAAGTCGCTCAGCGGTCGAAAGCGATATCGGTAGGATATGACCACGCCACCGGAGACAGCGACTCCGGCTGGTTCGATCAAAATTCGACAGGTAGGCCTTCTAGTCAGCCCGCTGGTAAGAGATGGGCACTCACTGAGGTCTCTGTCACTGCTGCTCAAACAGTTAGCCGGAAAAAATGACTGAGAAACGTTTTTATTTTGCTGACGGGATTTAGGGAATAATTAAACTCCGCCAAGACCCAGCGTGAAGAAGAACGGCTGTTCGTAAGTCGGTCTTGATAATCAACAGAAGCTTTGCCAGCTGAGGTGTCATTGAGCATAGGATTAATGCGTCGATACTTTCCTGGCACAAGCGACGTTCACTGAGAATGATTACTGTGGGCGTCCTCGTAGGCCGTTTTTAGGTATCAAGGGGTGTGTAGAGTTGCGGACTAGTGGACTGAGAGTCAGACTGCAATGGCTCCTTCTTAATAAGGACCCGAGCCGCTTTTGTTTGAAATTCTGGGTCAGTGTGCGTTGTGAACCAGGAGTTCGGTGGGAGTTTGCGCTGTGCCAGAGCCACCTGCGCCCTCTCCCGCCTCCGGTTTTCTTGACATTGTCTTGACACCGGAACCAGGTGGGGGGTGGGGAGGAGAGAGTGCGGTGGATACTGTGCAAGCCTACTGTCACTATAAACTAAATCACGCGCAAGTCACCATCGCTGCGCTGCTTTAGATCCCGCGGTTGACATCGTTGGCAACAACCTTCAAACTGCCAGGGGTGTGTGGACAGAAAAAACTCGCGGGGGTCTAAACATTAGCCAGGGAACCGCAACGAGGAGATACTTACTCCGCAGCAGGTCACTGTCTTCGTTTAACAAGTTTTTGGTTTCCCTAGGTAGCGTACGACTCGGCTGATAGGAGCAGTCTGTCTAGGGTCCTCTAGGTTGGTAGTATACTGCCGAAACTCCCGATTTTAATTAAGACATATTATCCGCTAAATGGAACAAAGGTTTAGGGATGCTGAGTGGAGGTTGAACGCATCGCCTTCATGGTAGGCGTTCGACTAGATCGTGTTTTCTCACCAGTTTACTACAGGTATGCACTTGTCAAAACGCTTCCCGACGACGAGGCTCCTCCTCTTGCCGACGAGAAAACACGATCTGTCCGTGATAGCATAATCACTAAATTCCGGAAATAAAGATGATGACTTGGGGCTTCGGAAACTGCTCTATGACTCAACGGCTTCAAACAGTGCAAGCATGTAGTCCTCCTCCTTCCCCTGAGTGGTGAGACGCTGGAGGTAGTCTTGTGCCATCTACCTCGGTTTGTTCATGCTACCGACAAGATAGTATCTGAAATAAATAAAGCTCGACAGACAACTTGCACAGGAGTAGCAAATCTAATGTTTCTGGATGGTGTGTGAGGTCTCGCAGCAAGGCTTATCACAAAATAAAGGTTTAGGAATATGACAGTGCAATCAAAACCATTCTGCTCTGCAACGCGACCTCCGAGTGTTTGTGGAAAGCAGGAACTCCAGGAACATGGCAAATTAGATCTCAGCTGTGAGGTGACGTTTACAGCGTGGAACTAAGACAACCAATTGAGACGTCTCCCCCTAGAAAGGTTACTGTCGTTGATAATTGGTCGACTCAGTCGACCAAACGGAGGGTGCGCACAGTCGCGACGTCGAGAGCGGCAAAGTTGACATATGTCAGACCTGGAGAGCATGGTGAGTCGCAGGTTTCGGTCGTGAGCGCTGACTGCCGACGGCTTGACCGTCCGGAGCCATTCAGTTCCGGGCAAGCATAAGCAGGACAATTGGCGCAAATGAAGGGGATTAACGACTTATCTTAGTCCTCAGAAAGGTTTTCAAGGTCTAACTACTATGCGTGATTTGGGGATGTCAGAACGCAGGGTCACTTCCCCATTTAGTTGAAACTAGCGGTGGTTACTCAAGCACGCCGCAGCAAGAACAACCTCATTCCCTTGGTTGAGGAGTTCCGGAAGTTGGTGATAACTTGCGGCACTCCGAGCATGGCCTCGGTAAGGAGGGCGACAAAGCCAAGAGTTTGCACGTAGATGGCACTCGTCCGGAAGCAAAAGGTGATGCTGAATGCCAGGAAGGCGAAAAAGGCGATGAACTGAAGGTAGCTGCCGAAATCTGTCCAACGCCAGAAGTAGGCCGGATCGAGGTCTGTGGTGGAAAAAGAATGGAAGTGGAATGACAACGTACTTACACAAAGTAATCAGTGATCTCCGACCAACTGCGTCTGACAGATCAACCATCACAAGTGATGACGCTCATCACTGCCCCACGAGGTGGGTCTAGATGCGGTGAGTTATGCGCGGACTTGTTCAGGCAGACTTATGTAGCAGCTACCGACTTCTTTTCCTGCGCACCTACCAAGACAATCGGAGATGGGCGCGGGCGTAGTGGCCGATAAAGCTAAACAGGTCGTCTACGCGTGCCACACACAAGCGGACCCGCAACTCATTGTGAAACAGACGGAAAGGGTCGGGCTCCAGACATAGGTTTTCTGGCACCGGCACGCACACAACTTACCTGCCACTTGACCGAGTCCTGGAGAAGCCTCAATATCCACACAGGCTTAGAGGTGCACGGCCGCCGAACGGGAAATCGTTAAACATCATTAGTGTGTATTTTCTCGCAGCCAAAACTGTGGGAGCCACCGCAAAGACCTTGATATGAAAGAAGTAGTTACGAACACGGCCGAGTCCTCGGTGAGACAAACGTAAATGCAAATTGCATTTTGATCCACGCGCGTTGCTGCTTTTCCTCTTGCCATACCGAACGGCGGCAATTGAGGTGGCCGGAAACATAACGACCATAACGGTAAGGATGTTTACGGATGAGAAGTAGGTTCGATACGCACTAGGGAAACCGTGCTTGACGTTCTGGAACATCTGTATCCCTTGAAAAGGTGAGGGTGTGTATAAGTGAAGAAGAAGAGTCGAGCACCGGAACACTTCGTTTATTATCCTGAGCTTTCAGACTCGTGCAGGAGTTCATCTTCAGAGGTAGTGGCAGAAACAGGATAGGCGGCGGTTATAAGGCACGTAGGCCCAATCATCGACCGAAGTCGCACGACTGGAGGTGACTACGAAGGGCTCTGTACGTCGGCGCCAGATCGATAAATCGATTGACTGAGTTCTTATCCGAGGCCCAGGCTTCAATCAATACTCGGCCTGTTTTGTTTCCGGCGTGAGCGACTATTTTGGTAGCTGCGAAGTCAAACTCGTGACCCGTTTCGTAGTTGTGGGCGGCCACTTGTGATAATGCGTCGCCTCGCCGCTCGACTCTTCTCCTTCACTTATGCATACACCTGGAACTCGAAATTTCGCCTTCATTCGTGAGGGTGTGTCTCCAATTTGAAGGTCGACGAGAAAGCCGAAGGGCAAGTGAGCCTCGGAGGCTCCAAGCCAGAAGGGGGCACGAGTTGGTAATATGTAGCCGTCAACACAACCACGCGGGAGATTCACGGAATCGTCAGACGGCCAAGATCGAGAATAAAAGTTTTACGGAGAGTACGAAAGTCATTTGAAGTGGATGACTGTAAAACGCCATCAAATATAGAACAAGTGCTTTTTGTCGACTACGCAGAGAGCGATTTCGACATCTTCACTAACGACAAAAAGGCCGCCCTGGCGATGATTCTGGCCGAGGATGAAGACGTATATTAGGAACCACTCCGCAGGAGCCCAGAAATGCCCTGGTCTCCATTGCATCCGGGTCCGGGTTGAGACGTGCTTGAAGCAATTCTCAATCCCAATATATGCAGATCGCCCGGACGCAATGATAAAACCAAAAGGGTAAACTTCATCCGCACAGTCAATGAGACCGAAAATTCATCTCCTGCATAGACACGAGAACGTTCGGTCGGCCACCGGGCGATCACCAACAGGCGGCGCCCATTTCCAAAGCTCTCGGTCACTGCCACAACCAAGTCTGCTGAGGTCCTTACATAAACGAGCACACCCCACCGCAGCATCTGTGGACCCAATGGGGAGTAATACATAGTGTGCTGAAGGTAACAATTTCGAAACTGAGTCCACGCACGCCGCTTCCATCTGCCGGTTTGCTGTTAGCCGAAATATCGTCGCTGCTGGGCCTGTATCACCGCTATAGAAAGGAAAACTTGCACAACGTCCACCTCACCCTGCCCTCCCACATTAACCATGCCGCAATAGCGAGCCAAAATCACGATGAAGACTGGAGCGAGTGCAGCGGATGGAGTGCAACGTACACGGGTCAGACATTAAAAGAATGAGTCGGGGATCGCTTACTGAAAATAGTTGTCGCTAAGGCCACGTTATGAAATAATCACTACACCCTAATCCCCACTCCCAAGTTGTAATTCTTCGCAAGTCTTGGGGCGGCTGAGAGAGCTGAGAGTGAGAATGCTATTCACTAAGCTCGGAATCAGGGTACAGATATTAGTTACATAAGGAAGTCGTGAAAAAGGAGCAACAGGTAAGAGGTGGATGGAAGGCTCTGGGCCTTTCATGGCCAGGTGTGTTAAATACCTGTGAAATAATGTTCAACCTCAGTTTCTGTATCATCCACATGTCGCGATCGCCGTCGATGCTTTCCCCGAAATCGCACACAAACCGAGGTCATTGCCAGCATTGTGAAAATCATTACAGTTGCTTGAACAAGCAAGGGAGTGGGAAAAGGGTGACCGAACCTGGCAAAAGTAAGATCAAAAAAGGCGGAACCCGGTTAGTTCAACATTAGCAACATGAGGAAAAAGTGGGACATTCAGTAGTATTCAGTACCTACCAAAATGCCATGCGGAGTATGTTGGCGACAAGCAGGGTAAGACAGACAAAGGGTGAAAATCCATCGGAATTTTCGAGGCTTTTAATTTCGAGGTACTGGGGTACGTAGGGGATAGCGCCGCCGAAAACAATAAACAACGGCAGAGCTGACTTTGTTAGGTCCACCAATGACCAGAATACAGAAAGCATCTTATCAGAGCCTAAAGAAACTAAAAGAGGAAATATATTAGCAAGTAGGGGAGAATCAAATGGTGGGATAAGAAAGTTTGTGATGTAAGTTATAAATGTAATTTTAGGCCTTTGAATGATAGCAGCACCAAAGGATATTATCAGATAGCGACAAGCATCGGATCTTTCGAATTCGTAGACGACTACAGGCTGGCGAAATCCCACCTTCTTATCAATAAGTCCTCAGTGTTGCAGAGCACGGGGGACCGCGACGCTGTTTCCGAGGCAAACTTACTCACTGAGAGACTGGGTTGTGGCTGCCAAGAATAGTTGGTAAATTGTAATTACACAAGAGGTTTCGCACCGTTGAATGGTAGAAGCCGGTGGGTTACGAGAAATACTAAATTATGGTCGGATTACTTGTGGGTTAGAACAGGAAGACGTGCAAGTTGAGGCCTGTTTTGTGCGTGTGTTTGTCTGACATTTCCGTGCCAGCGTGAGAAAAGAGTTGTGTGGGTCGCCCCTGCATGTGTGATTGATTGGCTGGGTCGGGAGAGCATAATAAGGGGACATTGACGGTGACAAGGATCACAGCTTGATGCCTGCTTATAGTCAATGCCGTGACTTACGACAGTTGGACAAGGAATGCCTCAGATGAGGCCTAAGGGGTGGTTTTAGGTTAGAAGCGCGAAGTGGGCTGAGGTGTTGTGGTTGTAGACTGATGGTTAGAGGTCAGAAGACGGCGAACTGGGGTGTTTCTTACAGACGATTTCGGAAGAGAGTGAACGTGCCCAACAAGGTGAAACTAAATCCCTTAGCTTAGCAAGGACAGTTGTTTTTAAATCTGGAAAAAAGCGAAAAGAGAGCCGTATTCTCATAAAAAATAGCTAAACGTAGAATAAATACGAGTGAATGTTAAATGCCAAAGTAGAAATGAAGGGCGAGAAACTTCAAGGAGTCGCTCAATGACAAAAGACAGAGTATAACTGGAGATATATGCGTAAAAGTGGATAAGTTGACCTTAATCTGAAATTTTCAAAGTTTGCGGCCCTTAAAGGATACCTGATTTAACAGATAAAGACTTACACAGCATCGTTTTGTCTTCCTTAAACTATGTCAACGGAAAAAGTTGTGCTTCTTTTTACTACGGAGGTTTCATTCAAGAGCTCAACCGTTCAAATAAATCATGACTTCTTTAAAAGGAATATAATCCAAGTCGAACTTTCTCGTATCAGGACAGCCGAAAGCGATTGCTTCCATATCTGAACTACGATTTCTGCTAGTTATTAAAACTCCGTGGTAGGTATTTAAGGAAGAAACGTCACAAAGAGTTTCTGGTGCATCAAATGAAGGACACTGGTGGAACTTCCAATGATGGAGTAAGGTTAAACACTGGAAGATAAGTACACGCGTCGATTTCACTGTAGAACGACGTAAGTCCTTAGATAGCCACTTTCCTTGAGGCAATAAACAAGGCCCAAGTCAGTGTCCCTCGCCCGGTCGAGAGAGGGAGAAACACTGCCATGAGAATAAGCCGGTGTTATTAGAAAAGTAGAATTTCCGGTCATCTGGCAAAAGAGTCAAGGAAATTTGGCAAACAAAGTTACTAAAAGACTAAAACTTCAGAAGAAAAATTCGTTGTCCTTTTCACCACTACAAAGGCGCTGGACCGCGAACTTACTAGCTTAGATAAGTAGGCCAGTGATGCTGAAGATAGCTGAGAGTTGGCGACCGATGATTAGTGTTCTTAAAATATACTGTTCTGGTGCAATTGCCGAGTTCACACGACTGTTTTACGTTAAGGGGAGTATCAAAGGGCAAGTTTGAAAGACGAGTTACCCGGCCTTCGGTGAAGAGTAACTGCGAAATAAGTCGGCTCTCGAGTCTGAAGAATAAACTGTCACGGACTAGCAGCGACAATGTCACCATGGCGGGAATAACTGAGGTCTGGCATGCAAAGTTCGATGACGGCACTGCAACACGGCGACTGTGAACTGTCATTAAATAAGTCTGTCACTGCTGTCCTGTGGTTAGATTCTTAAGTCAAAACTCCAAAGGTAATAACCTCGTACATGCAATCCGAGCGACTTTTGGGGACAAGCCTATACTCAAAATTCCAAAGAGACTGCTTGAAAATGTCCGACCACAGTATTTCGATCCATGCTGCATCGTCTGATAGAATCTACGTGCTCCGCAGCCCTGATCTAGTGATGAGGGCGAGTAGTATGCGAGCTGGACTACTCAATCGGAAACGAAATCTTGGTACTGGATGTTAGGACGCGTGAACGCTTCTAGACGCCGATGCGCAGTCTAAATCGGTACAAAACGGGTGTTTGCTACCTGTCTTAAGTCCGATTGGTTGGTTCAGGCGCTCGGGTAATGAAGATCTCAGGATTTGACTCACACTTCACTATATACCACGGCGACGCATCGACTCTTCTGGTAGACACAGAGTGGCAATCGTCCTCTCTGGGCAGGGGAACTGCACAGTAATTGCATGGAAATCAGTTAATCACCAAATGGCTTACGTGCGACACCAGCCGTCAAACAGCGCAATAAAGGGACCTTCTACTCGCAGCTGCAGGAGTTAGTTGAAAGACTCCCTCGCCGTGATCTGCTGATTTTAGCTAGGGAGTTGGAATTGCCGGATAGGACCCAACGACTCTTCAGATAGTCACCTTATTGGCCGTTTAGGGCTGGGCTCTCGATGCAACCGTAGTGAGTGAATGCAGAATTTCGCCGATCAGAACCGGTGACTTGTCACCAACACGCAGTTCCACTATCGCCGCAAGCGTCTGTTGACCTCGCATTCAAACGACAGCCATTCGATCTGTCAGAGGAACTGAGTTAAGGCTCCGCAACTGGGATCACGACAGCAGATCGATGCGTAATGCCGAAATTGGTAAAGCCTATGGGTCTGACTATGTTCTCTTTTGCGCACCCCTGAAAGTTCGCCTTTCATCTGCGCCCAAAATGCCACATGCGAGACGCCTTGATGTCGCAAAACCTAGTACCACCGAAACCCAGGGCACAGAAATCCAGTCGCGTTTTACGACTCGAGCCGACGGAGATGGCAGAGGCCAATGGCCATCACCGAAGTCATCAGTCTATAGAGAAGTCGAGAGAATTCTTGGATTTATCCAACTACGCCATAGTGACTGGATCGGTGGAATAACCCTGAAGTTGTCTACCAAGACGGTTCGATCCCAATCTTTATGACTGGGATTCGGGTATCCTTGTCTGCCCTCAAGAAGGGAGATGAAACAAAGTGCGAAAACGACAGCAGCATAAGCCTCTTCGACGTTGCTGCGAAGGTCTTCGCTGCTGGCCCCCTTGGGCGAATCCAGGCTGTGTGTGACTCTAGGATGAGGCTCAACCAAGTCGAATTTCGAGCTGGGCATGGATGCGCGAACCAGATGTCCACCCTGAGGCGCATTCTGAAGTCCAGCAACCGACGGTCGCCTACTTTGTTGACTTCGCCGCTGCGTTCGATTCCGTCCACCGTGGACCCCTGTGGTGGATAGTAATATAGAACTAGACGGTAATGTGATTAAAATCACCGTTATGATCGAAGCCTACTATCGATCCACTGCGTGAGTTCTGCTTTATAGCAATCTGTCCCAACAGTTCGATATGTGATCTGGCGTTTGACATGGTTGTATCCTGTCGTCCATTCTGCGCAGCTACGTCATGACTGGATTTTTCGGAGAGGCCTACATGGTTTTGACGGTGCGGTGTTGGCATCAGGGCGTCGGATGACAGATATAGACTACGATGATGATATCGCTTTGATGGCCTCGAATTTTGGTGACTTACTGTCTGTGATGTCAGAAGTGAATGAAGTCGCCACTTCAATCGGTTTATCTATAAAAACTAGGAAGACCAAATTGTTTTCAGGCTGCATTCCTGACCAGGAGAAAGCATTCATCGCGATTAATGGCTGTCGATATGAAGAAGTAGATGGTATAAAATACCTCGGGGCGAGGCTGCTGCCAGCAGACATCATCTCCAAAATCAATGCTGTTCATAGAGTTTTCTCAATCCTTAGAAAGTGCTTATGGATCCGACGCGGCAAACACATCGCACAAACATTTGCCTGCACCGTGTATCCGTCCGGTCAATACTTCTCTATAGTTTTTTAGTGCTGGACTGTGTGCGTAAAATATGAGCGAAAACCAACGGTATTTAACCACCGCGCACTAAAGGCCATCCTTCGAATTAAGTACACCGACCTCCTCCCAAATTAGGTAGTCCGCACTCGCTAAGACAGTATTGACAGAATATTGCAAACCATTCAAAAAGACGACTGGGGTGGTTTAGGCACGTTCGCTGTCGTCCTCTCCCCGACATCATTGTTAGAGGCCTCGATCCAGCGCCGTTGTGCGCCTGCAGACATCGAAGACGAGGTCGACTCAAGACCCGGCTTGACACAGTTCGTTGAGACATGAAATTGATTCTTGGACCTTCGGTATTCGGTTTCCGTCGCTAGAGAAGAAAGTAGGTCGAGACGTGAAGGTCTGCTGCGACGGGTTGTCACTCGCGAAGGGGAACACTACGTGACATCATTGAAGCCGATAAGATCAGACATAATCACAGCCGTATCAAGCACAAGTACGAAGGGACAAAGCTGAACAAGGCGAACAGACAAAGTCAAAAATTCCCTATTTCATAAGGCAGCTTAAAATGCCCTCGTTGAAATGATAGCACTACTCGCACAGAAGACGATCACAAATTGAGCTTAACATCTCTAAGTGATACATCTGAGGAAATCACGGCGGTTAGAAGCCATCGTCGTCTACTGAGCGTGATCGGACTCGGAAGTAACTAAGACAGATCTGGCCTAAAGTGTAAGACAATCCGCATGAAACAGTTCACTGCAGTTCATTCTAGGACATGCGAGAAGAAAATATTTGAAGTTCGAGGCAGCAGTGAGAACGATAGCCGTCAGATATGAGAACAATCAGCGGCACGGGAAGCACTCTCATAATACGATGAGCTAAAATTTTCGATTGAAACTTCAG